TTGTTAGTACTATATTTTTTATTTCAAACTATTTCAATTCTGTCTTTAATTCTTAATTTCTATACAATTTTAGGACATGAATGAACCATCAAATTTTGTGGATGGTGATTGGGAAGGTTGCTTATTTACCAACTCTAGTAATTGGGAAAATCCACAATATACACCTAATGTTGCYGGTGGAAAATTAAATTATAAAACTATTTGCATGTCAGCAAATCAGCACGCTGGACTTCATTATAATTTACATAATCTTTATGGATTTTCAGAAGCAATAACAACTCAATTGTAAGATTCAAAATTGGTTAAATTAGAAAGTAGAAACTTTTTATTTCATTATAAACTGAAAAAAATATTTTAAACTAGTGCATTATCAGTTGTTAAAAATTCAAGACCATTAGTTATTTCAAGATCAAGTTTTGCTGGTTTAGGACACTTTGCTGGTCATTGGACTGGAGATGTATTTTCTACTTGGGATGATATGAAACAATCTATTACTGGTAATAATTTAAAACTTATTTTTCCTATCATGTAATACTTGTTTTACGAGGAGTAAGGTCTACCATATCAGCAATATTTATCTACCTTTAATATTATTACTTATTATTACTCTTTTATTTTCTGAGTATAGTGACTAGTATTTATTTAAAAATATTGTTTTTGACGTATACCATAAAAAATAGACATATATTGGAGTGCTAAGTAAATGGCGTTTCTAAAATATAAAAACCGATATACACCATTTAAGRCTTATAACTAAGCACTATCAATTCGATAGCTTTGTGTTACACTGACTAAATGTAACCCTAATGGAACAAGATTTTTATGTTTAGAAGTACCACCAAAGAAGTTAAATAATTCAAATATTATAATATTATAAGTAAAATGTTGTAATGTTATTGATAGGGTGCATCCTGAAATAATGTTAATGTTAGAGTACATGCCTACTGAATTCTTGATTTAACTAAGAGGAATAAATACCGCATTATATCCATGATTTTTACTAATTATTACATTATTACTACAATACATTTTATCTTAGATATTGTGCTATTCAACATGTTTGGTGTTCCACTGGTTGGAGCTGATATCTGTGGTTTTAATGATAATACTACAGTTGAGCTTTGTTCACGCTGGAGTCAATTAGGTGCATTTTATCCATTCTCTAGAAATCATAATTCTGATGAAAGTTTTGTATGTATTAATTTTAATAGTTTATAGAATGTTTATTTGATGAAATAATTTAATTACATGTATTATACAAAAGGATCAAGATCCTGTGGCTTTAGGACCATTGGTTATAGAATCAACTAAAAAAGCACTGTTAATTCGATATTCATTACTTCCATATTTGTATTCTCTATTTTGGAGAGCTCATATTTATGGTGAAACAGTTGCACGACCACTTTTCTTTGAGTACGTATATTTATTTTATGTATTACTTAATTTAATGAYCTCAAAAGATAAATAGTACAAATAATGAAATGATTTAGATATCCACATGASAACTGTACTTACAACATTGATACACAATTCCTGTGGGGTGCTGCTCTACTAATTTCGCCAGTCTTAAAAGAGGTTTGGTTATTACAATTTTATTTACAATAAAGTATTTACTATATAAATTCACTTCATATTTTTAGAACCAAGTAGATGTAGACATCTATTTACCAAATGATATATGGTATGATTACTATTCTAAAAAAGCAACACTAAGTAATGGATCAATTTTCAATGTTGAAGCCCCTAATGATACTATTCCACTTAAAATACGTGGTGGCTATATTTTACCAATTCAAGATCCAGCTACTACTACCTCATCTAGGTATACTTTCCATATTAAATTTTATTCCTATAAATTACTTGAAATTTAAGGTTAGAATGAGAGTATAATTAATATTACTTAGGCTTTAGACTTGATTAAATTTAATTTTAAACATATATCAATATTATATAAATATTATTTAAATTAAATTATAGCCGTAAAAATTCATTTGGACTATTAATTGCACCAAACAAATTTAAAGAAGCATTTGGCTACTTGTTTTGGGACGACGGAGAATCATTAAGTAAATAATATTACAATTATTTTCCTACTGTATGTAATAGAAAATTTTTTTTAAAGATGTATGGGAAAATGGGATATATAATGAAATCCATTTCAAACTAAACAATACAATATTGTTAAATGAGGTTGTCATGAATAATTATTCAGATGAAAAGACCATTTTACAAAATATTACTGTTTTTGGTATTCAAAATGAACCAAAAAATATTCAAGTAAATGGAGCCACATACAGTAATTTTTATTATAATACGACTGAAGAAGTGAGTGCTAAATACTAAATTTTATTTTAATAATTAATTTTATCTTTTATAGCTATTTATAATAATTTTTGTGGCTTATTTACTTAAATTAAAAACAAAAAAAATTATCAGCTTTTAATTAAAATCATCTTGGTGAATACTCGAATGTTGTAGGTTTATACATGCATATAATATACTATACATATAATTTTTTTTTTACAGGTCCTTTACTTTTTATCGTTAAACTTGGACTTAAATATAGTTTTCAATATCACATGGACTTACATTAAATAATTATTATTTCATAATATTGTTTTTTATTTTTTTTAGGTAAATGTATTTTATTTACTAGATAGAATAATTAYGACGATATCTTATATATACTTTTAAAGAAAATCTTTTAATAGTAAACTGATATAATTTATATCACTTTGATCTAATATTAATCATGTTCATATTTATAATTTTAATGAGATAAATATCGCCCTTTGTACATTGATTTTATTCAATCATATGCATACTTTGTTTTTCTATCAATTTATACTAACATCATTGTTGTGCTTATTATTGTTACTATATTGAATATAAATGAAAATAAAATATTAAAATGTTGATAAATAATGTAACTGTGGTATAGTCTTTTGTGATTCATTCAACTACTTCTTTCATAAATGTTCAAAACTTAAAACTCTATTTTTATTTTTACAAAATTTATAAATATATTGTTAATTAATACAGTTCTTTTGTTTAATATGCACTTAAAATATGGCAATACCAAGATCTTCCTATTACTATCCATACAGATTTTGTTCTTATTACATGTATATTACTGTCACTCTATACCAAATGAATTAAAGTTTGATTGTATCCCTAAAGGAAAGTCAGATGAGGCAACYTGCAAACAAATTAACTGTTCGTGGACACCGGCAAACCAATCTTTTACACAATGGCCATGGTGTTATTACCCAGAATGTTACAATAATTATAATACAATTAATATATCAAAGACAAATACTGGAGTAGTAGCATTTTATAATTTATCAATGGCTTCTAATTACAAAAAAAACATACAAATCTTGCGTCTGAATGTTATTTTTGAAAAGCCACAAAGACTACGAATTATGGTACTTATACAACTTTATTATAGTAATTAAAAAAAAATTATGAAAATTATACTAATAGTAATTACAAATGTAAGTTGATAATTGGGCTCAGTGATGTGTAGCCCAATCATCTCCTAGTTTGTTATAATTATTGCTAACTACTTTGAAATTACTGGATCAATTGCATGAAGCTTGGAATTTATATTAATTGTGATCTAAAGGGTGCGTAGATTAGAATTGGAATTTATAGAAGCTGTTGTTAATTAACTATGATTAATTACTCATCTATTTAATAAAAATAAGATGTCTTGATTGACTAATCAACATACAGCAAACATTTTTATGGCTATAGAGTAAAGACTTACAATTGTAAAAGTTCACTAATAAATGATTTTAATGTTGGATTCAAATAAGGATTTTGTTTCAGCARACAAAAATCAAACATTATTTTGTACCTATATTTGTTGTTCCGATTGGTTACAAAAAATGAAATAGTTATTAAGACTGGTTATAATTAACTAATAATCATTGATATATCAGAAATTTAACAGCTTAAAAAAAAGATGAATGTTAGGAAAAAAAAGCTAACGAAATGGAAGATTTTTTGTCGATAATTATTTTTGCTACACTAGACTTTTGACTATTGATGCACATACCCTTAGCTATTTACAGAGTAATTATTTTTATTAGTTAGGTATACATGCTGAGAAAAAAAAATATTGAGTGGCCATGATGAAAGAGTTTGTATTTTTAATTAGACAAGAGGATAGCTAAATTTTAAAATAAATTTTAATTTTATTTTAAATTTTGAGCAGAAGGATAAATGTATTAATTTTACAATGATAGGAGGTTTTTTAAATTTATTAAAAATTGTTTGTATCTATATGTTTAGTATACATTACACATGATAAGTATAGTCGAAATAATGTTTCAAGCATTTCTACCTCAGCTTAATTTCTGGTAGTACGGTGAATCTTGTAGTTTGTCGGTGGATTAAATCTACAAGTAAATTTTTACCTAATATTATTAAAGCTGTCCATTAATATTATTTAATAATTTTTTCTTGATATTTTCAAAAGCATTGAAACACCAAAAAAAAGAAAAACACAAATTTTCTTACAAAACCGATTTAGTTTTTTTTTTTATGGAATTTAGAAACTAATAACCGTAGATACTTTAAATTTTCACAAAGTATATATACATCACCTTTCCTAACATTCTATCTCTTTTTAAGCTATTTATAGCTATCTATATAATTTTAGATTKTATTTCAATATTGTCGATAAATAATTTTTTTTATTCTCATAAGCTTTGAAAATTTAATTTAGAGATTCTCAAAGTTGTTAAAATAGTAG